AATCCCAGCACTCCGGAGGCTGAGGCAGGAGGATCCCTGTGAGTTCGAGACCAGCCTGGGCTACATAGTGAGTTCCAGGTCAATCTCAACTACACAGTGAGACCCTGTCTCAAAAAAACAAAACAAAACAACAACAACAAAAATAAAGGGCTGATTTGTGGGCTGGCGCTGCCGGAAGATGCTGGAGGGCTCCTGCGCTGCTTCAGAGCCCGCCGTCCCCACCCTCGCGGGCCGGTGAACAGGAGAGTACGGTCAGTGGAGTGGGGCGAGGAAGCGCAGCCTGTGGGCCCAGCACGCAGGAGGCTGAGGCAGGAGAGGGCAGCAAGTGCAAGGGCCATCCCGGGCTGCATAGGAAGACCACGTGTCAGCACATAGTGAGTTCCGGGTCAGCCTGAACTACGTAGTGAGACCCTGTCTCAAAACACCAAAAAAAGATAAAAATAAAATAAAAAAATAATAATAAGACTTCTCTTAAAATGATTTGATATGATTACTTCCGCTCTGAGCTGGTACAAGTTTGACTTCATGTACTTTAATGTATTTAACTGGCATACCATGTTGAGTTTTTTGTTTTTGCATTTTTGTTTTGTTTTGTTTGAAATAGGATCTCACTGTGTATTTCAGGGTGGCCTTGAATTCACTGCGCAGCCCAGGCTGGCCTGGAACTTACAGCGACCCTCCTGTCTCAGCCTCCTGAGCCTGAAAACTATTTCTGAGCAAAAAAGTTTCTTTTGTAGCTAGCTGACCTGACAAAGAGCCACCCCCAGCCCATACCCCCTCCCACACCTAACACATGTCCTCTTTCATTGTCCTTTGTTTTCAGGAAGTTGTCTGTATCCAGTGTACTTTTCTATCAAATCATGTAAACTAAATGTCCTCAACCTTGGACGGATGATAAACGCCTCACTTCTGTATCCCCGCCCCCTTCCCTTAACCCATATAAACCCTGTTCACTGCCGGCTCCGGCTGATCGCTTGTGCAGAAATCCCCCAGTCAGCTCGCCGATGTAATAAACTTGCCTCCAACCCCCAGCGCGTTTTCCATTCTTCGTGGCCTCATCTTGCTACACCACTAAGAGCTGCCACGCTGGACTGCAAGTCTGCCCCACGCGCTGGGCCGCACAGCCCTCTTGGTTTCGTTCTAAAATGTGTAGGGGCGCAGAGATGCCTGCTTTTCATTCCTGGTAGAGTTCATTAGGACCTTCTTTTCAGTTGTCTCACAAAAGGCTTGTCCGTTTCATTAGTCCTCTCAAAGTGCCTGTTTTATTTCGTTTTTATTGTACTGTTTGCAATATCTTTATTATTTTCTTCATTCTCATTCCATCATGTTTTCATGTTTCATTTGCTATTATTATTATTATTATTATTATTATTATTATTATTATTATTATTATTCTTGTTTTTGCAGTGCTCGAGATTCAATCCAGGGCCTTGCACGTGCCAAGCTAAGCGCGTGTTTTGCCGCTATAGGTCATACTGTGCTGTTTTTCAAGTTTTTGTTTCTAGTTCTACCTTTTTTGTTTTGTTTTGTTAGTTTGCTTTGGGTTTTGAGGGTATTTTTATTTTTGTTTTTTGGTGGTACCAGGGATTCACCCCAGCGCCTTCACACTGAGCTACATCCCTAGCCCTTTTTCTTTTTTTTTATTTTGAGATAGTCTTCCCAAAATGCTAAATTGCACAGGCCAGGCTTGAATTTACTACTGCTCTGCCTCAGCCTCCCAGAGTGCTAACATTGCAGATGTGTGCTGCCATACGTGTGTGTGTGTGTGTGTGTGTGTGTGTGTGTGTGTGTGTGTGTGTGTGTGTTTCGAGACAGGCCTTTGCGGTATAGCTGAGACTGCCCTTGAATTTATGACCCTCCTGCCTCAGCCTTCCAAGTACTGAGATTACAGCCATTTTCTCTCTTTTTTTAATAATAACTCACTGAGAATTCGCTTAACGTGTAACTCCCATTTGGAGTACATGATTAAATCATTTTCAGTGCATTCACGAGAGCTGTGCGATCAATGTTAGATCACATCCGTCATCCCAAAGAGCCTCCGGTCCCTCCGTGGGCGGCCATCTTCCCCACCCATGCACCATTTCCCAGAGCGTGGTAGCCACCAAGCCACTTCCTGTCTACAGATCTGCCTGTTCTGGACTTTTTACAGAAATGAAATCATTCCGTACACAGGCTTTGGTGTCTGCTTTCTTTCATCAGTTCACATTTTCAGGGTTCTCTCATGCTGACCATTTATCAGTCCCCCGTGCCTTTTTAGGCTGAATAATAATCCCTTACAAAGATATAGCACCCTCTGTTGACCCGTTCATCAGCTCCTAGGCATTTGGGTTGCTTCCACATTTGGGGGGGGGGTACCAGGCATCGAACTCGGGACCTTGCGCTTTCGAGGCAGGTGGTGGCATCACTGAGCTAAATCCCCAGCCCTGCTTCCACTTTTTCACTAGTTTTTAAAATGTTATGTTGTTGTTTTAACTGAGAATTGAACCCCTGTCTTTTGTTTTTTTGAGACAGGGTCTCTCTCTGTACTTGAGACTGACCTAGAACTCACTATGTAGCCCAGGCTGGTCTTGAACTCACAGTGATCCTCCTGCCTCAGCCTCCCAAGTGCTGGGATTATAGGTGTGCACCACCACGCCTGACTAAACCCAGGTCTTTTGTACTGAGCTGCATTCCTAGCCCTATTTTACAACCTTCACAGTAGCAGGCACAAGGATGCTGATTTATCTACACCCTTGTTTGCAGTTCTCTCTCTGTGGCCGGCCTAGTGGGTGTGAAATGACATATCCCTGTGCTTTGACTTGCGTTTCTTCCAGGGAAGGGTGAACACTCCCACAAGTTTATTAATGTCTTCTTTTTTCCTCTTTTGTGTTTTGTGGCCCTGGGGATTGGACTGAGGGCCTCGTGCATGCTAAACACACTGCCGCTGAGCTAATTCCCCACCCCTCTGCTGCAGCTCGTGATTCTGTTTATTACAACTTTCAGTTCCAGAATTTGCTTCTTTTATTTTATTTCTACTGTTTTATTGTCAGTGCTGGAGATGGAACCTAGTGCTGGGCAAATGCTTTCCTGCAGCCCCACAATTTACATGTTCTTCTGTTTAAATTCACTGTGTTATTTTTATTATTTACTCACTCACTTTATTATTTCAGGTGCTGAGAATTGAACCCAGGGACTCACGTGTGCTAAGCACGAGCTCTCCCATGGAGCTACACCCTCAGTCCCTTTATGATTTTTTCCAAATTTCTTGTTCCCAACTAATTTTCCAGTCTTAGCTTTGAGGCTTTGGATATAATAAGCACGCTTGTTCTGTAGTCTGTGCCGATCGTTTTGGTATCTGGAGACCTTGTGAGTCTGTTTCTATGATCTGTTGTCCCCACTGTTCTCATGCTATCTTACATCCTTGAGTGACTTTTGTGTGCTGGGCACTGGGTTTTGTTTGTGTGCTTTCATGGTGCTGGTAAAACTCAGGCCCTGACAAGTGCTGGGCAGGCAAGGACTCCAGCCCGGAGCTACATGCCCAGCCTTAGACATTGTTTTTGAAAAATGATTTATAGAAATTCTTTAGGCCCAGACAATACTGTCTTCCTCTAAGGAGAACTTTTCATTATTTTTAGACAACTGAAGACAGCGATCAGGAGTTGCCTGAGGTCAGGCTCTGGGCCGGGGCTCCCTCGGACACCCTGTACCTGGCAGGCAGCCTCGGTGGCAAATCCGGCACTGAGTGTTGCTCTCGGGGTCCCA